TGGAAATGGCCAGAGACAGAATGGGCATGCCGACTTGTTCCATTGCTTTCTGGTAAGGCGTTAGCAGCCTACACAGCAATGGATGAAGACAGGGCCCACTGCTATAATGAACTGAAAGCAGCATTATTGGCAAAATTTGACATATCTCCAGAGACCTACAGGCAGCGGTTCCGGTCAACTGTGGTTCCACCTGATGAAAGCCCGGCAGAAACCTACTCCCGACTGAAGGGGCTTTTCCGACGCTGGATTCGACCTACACAGCACACTAAGGAGCAGATTGGAGAGGCCATCATTCTGGAGCAGTTCCTGCGAGTTCTACCGCCTGAGATGAGGACATGGGTGAAGGAACACGAGCCGAAAGATGGACAGCATGCAGCAAAACTGGCGACACAGTTCCTGAATGCCCGCAAGGGAGGCGGCGGTTCAAACTTCATCAACAGGAACCGCAGGGTTACAGCGCAGCCGGTCCAACTGAAAGCTACAATAGAACGAAGCAACCGGGACTTTCCAGGTAACTTCTCCAGGGAACCAGACCACCACCAGCTGGGTAAGAACCTTGTTTGTTATTATTGCCAACAACCGGGCCACAAAGCTTCTGTGTGTCCAGTGCGCAAAGCTAAGGTCAGCGGGGCCTGTTATCCACCCCGGCTTGAAGAGGGGATTGTTGGGACTGAAAATATTGGCAGACACTATCAACAAATAACTGTTAATGGACAAAATGTGACTGCTCTTTTGGACACTGGAAGTTTCATCTCGCTCATAAAGCAGAGTCTGGTACCAGTGGGCCAGACAGATTATGGAAGAAAAGGGGACATTTTGTGTGTCCATGGTGACAAACATACATACCCAAAAGCAGACTTAACAGTTGTTATTGATGAACAACCATATCTGTTGACATTTGGTGTTACTGAAAACTTGCCAGTAGATGTAATTTTCGGTCGGGATTTACCAGTGCTTTTTGACTTGTTGAAGGAAAAGCAGTCCAATCAGATGGATTTTGATAAGGAGGTCAATACCCAAGTAAATGTTAAAATCTCTTGTCCGGTGGTCACCAGAGCCCAAGTAAAGGCCGGTGTCCAACCATTACCAGACCTAGACAGTAGTTTATGTGAGGGTGGCACAAAAGGGCCAAGAAAAACTCGAAGCCAACGGCGTTTTGAAAAAAAGCTAAGGTTAAAAGAACCTGATCAGATAGATGCATTGTGGGACATACCAGAAAACATTTCTCTGTTACAACAAGAGGATGAGAGTTTGAAACCACTATTCCTTAAGGCTGAAAAAGAAAAAACTGGAAATTGTGTGGTTGAACCAAGGTATGTTGTTGAACGTGATGTGTTGTATAACATTGAAAATAAGCACAAACGTTTGGTAATCCCCGCTAGATGTAGACCTCTCATTATGTATTTGGCACACACATTGCCATGGGCGGGACATCTGGGTCGCCATAAAACATATCTACGTGCAGGTGCGCGCTTTTACTGGCCAACAATGTACACCGATATTCAGACTTATTGCGCCACCTGCCCGGTATGTCAAAAAACATGTGCCACCCACAAAGCTGATAGGGCATTTCTTCAACCCCTGCCTGTCATTTCTACACCATTTCGCAGGATTGCCATGGACATTGTGGGCCCACTAATAAAAAGCAGCAGCGGCCATCAGTACATCTTGGTTGTGTCGGATTATGCTACGCGGTTTCCTGAGGCTTTTCCACTTCGTACCATCTCTGCTCCCATGGTTCTCCGGGCTTTAATGCAGCTGTTTTCTAGGGTTGGGATCCCAGATGAAATCATAACCGACCAAGGTACAAACTTTACCTCCAAGCTTATGCAACTGTTTTACAAACAGCTTGGTATTTCTCCAATAAAAACTACACCATATCACCCACAAACTGACGGTCTTGTTGAAAGATTTAATCAAACATTAAAAAGGATGCTCCAGAAGTTTGTGGATGAGACTGGTAAGGACTGGGACCGGTGGCTGCCTTACCTTCTGTTTGCTTACAGAGAGGTTCCCCAGGCATCAACTGGCTTCTCACCCTTCGAATTGCTGTATGGCTGGGATGTCCAGGGGCCTTTGGATTTGCTCCGAAAAGGCTGGGAGTCACCATCTGCAGGTGAAGACAATAAAGGGATTGTCCAGTTTGTGCTGGAGATGCGGGAACGACTTTCCAGGTACCAGGAAGAAGCAG